TAGATTAATTAAGATCTTTAATACTCAATAAAATGTGGGGGAAAAACAGTATAGAAAGAAACATAGATACCAGAGACAGTGTGGGAGGAGAGTAGGAGATGGCAGAGGTTAAGAGATAAGGAATCAAGGATGGGGAAAAAAAAAAAAAAAAAGCAAAACATACAGGAAACAAAAAATGGAAAGTTATTTGTTGACGATAACATGTATATTGATGTGCTTGATTGAGCCAATATACAGTGTACTCTGGATGGACAATCTCATTTTGTATGCTGTAATGATGTACAGTGAATGAATGTAAATAAATAAATTTAATTTTAAAAAATTCAAAAATATTTAATGATTTATTTATTTAATTCCGTAAGTTTTTATTATTTTTCAATTTGTCCAGAGAGAGACAGAGGGGGAAAAAAGGGAAAGTGAAAAATTCAAAAATATTTAATGATTTATTTATTTAATTCCGTAAGATTTCATTATTTTTCAATTTGTCCAGAGAGAGACAGAGGGGGAAAAAAGGGAAAGTGCAAAAGAAAGTATCCAGGTCTGGGACTCCAAACCATGCTGAGCATGTGGAAATTCAGTGTTTTAGCCACCAAATCAGCTGCCAGGCCCATTTTTTATCTTTTTTATGTATACGATAATTTAACTGATCTCCTACACCATAATTCAGATGAATGGCCGACAGCATATTTTTGTTGGACAATCCTTTTTTAAGTAAGACTGCTTATGGTTAAATGAATGTTGTTTGCTTTTTAATTTTTGATAGTAGTTTCCATTCAGTAAATGTTACTACTGTTTGCCCATTCTAAGATGTAATTGGTAATTCATTAGTAATGCTCATCTGTCTACAAAGATGGTGAATTCCAATTTAAAACTTACTGGAAGGTCAGCAGATGGCAGAGAGGTTACATCACTGGACTCCATATGGTAGATTGTGATACAAGTCCCAGATCTAGTAACTTGAAAATCACACCCAATACATGTACATGTATCCATAAGATTCCGGGAGGAGAATGGAGAAGACTGTGGGGTGGTCATCCCCCTTGAAGGATAATTTCTCAATTTACTTCTCACTGTCTCTCTCTCTATCTCCTTGGTGAGTGCATGTGCCTTAAGGCAAAAACCTCTGAAAAACAAAACCAAAAACCTAGTGGATGCTGTTTCTGGTTTTTTTGTTTGTTTGTCTGTTTTAACTTGGGTTATATGAATATACAAAAACTGGAGAAATCCCTTCACTTTTCAAAACCAAGCAGACTCACTTGTGTTTTACTTTGTGTTCATTAACCCAGTAATGGCTAAGATAAGGTAATGATATCTTCTTTATGTTTTTGATCTTACATATGTTAAACCAATCAGAATTTTCTGGATCTGAAACTGTGCCTTATTGAAAGATAATTTAGTGTGGTTTGTGTATACTATCAAGTAAAGAATATATAACATTTCACATATTTTATAAGTGATTTCTAAGAGCAGATGTTGTTGAAATCACTGTGTTCAGATTTAGCAGTAAATTAAAATTTGCCTTTGAATACTTTTTAAAGAACTGTATATTTAATTTACTTATTATTATTATAACTTTCTAATTTGACCAGAGAGAGGTAGTGTGAGAAAGCAAACCTTCAGGTTCGGGATCTGAACTATAGTCATGTGGGAGTCCAGTGCCTTAACCACCACACTACCTGGTAACACTTGAATACTTTATTATCTAAGACTAAGTTACAGTTAATAATTATCTTTACACAACTGTTCAAAACTGCATAACTGTAGAATTTTAATACACGTGTGATTGGTAAAGGTGCTTTTGTCAGCTTATTAGAAGGATTAGAGGAGATATACCATCAGAATATATTTGGAAATTATGTCATCATAAGACTTTATTAAAAAGTAAATAATGACTGAAGAAAACAGAAAGAAAGGAAAAGAAAGAAGGTAGGAAGGAAGGAAAGAAGGAAGGAAGAAAAAGAAGAGAAAAGAAATGAAAAGAAAGAAAGAAGAAAAAAAAGAGAGAAAGAGACAAAAAAGAGAAACAAAATATTTCAGGAGCCATATTCAAACCCAGAAGACAAGACCAGCCCAGAGATGCCTCCACAGAGTTCTTTTTCTGCCTAAGGATGATCCAGCCTCCAGAGGGAGACTCAGGAATTTATGAGACCCACTGAATGATGTGAACATGTGAAGGATCATGGCCAGCCCAGGCATTTTACCAAAGCCTCCCTAACCTCCCAGGCCTTTGTTGATTTTGGGTGGGACACAGTCCCACTCCTCCACAGCCATGCCAGGTACCAAAGCCTCCCTAACCTCCCAGGCCTTTGCTGATTTTGGGTGGGACACAGCCCCACTCCTCCACAGCCATGCCAGAAGAAAAAGTGTCCATGCTCAAGGAAACCTTAGGGAACTTCCTGGGCCATCTTTGATAGCAAGCACTGCTCCAAACTATTAACTCAGAATGCAGTCAGTCAGTTTTTTGTTTTTGTCGGTTTTTTTAGATTTTGCTATAGGGCACATGCACTTGCCACTGGGGAGAGACAGAGAGAGGAGAGAGAGAAAGAGAGAGAGAGAGAATGAGAAAGCACCCTACCAGGGGAAAAGACCAAACCACAATCCTTTCTCCTCCATTCTCTTCATGAGATTTTGGGTAGCCATGTATACATGTCTGGTGTGCTTTTTAAACCATCCAGTCAGGGACCTGAATCATGCGGTTGAACATGTGGGATCACCATGCCACTCATTAGCCCAGCACTGTTTATTTTTAAAAACTGTCTTGAGGTGACTAGCAGGTGGTTAAAGTGCTGGACTACCCCATGATTGACCAGTCTGAAGCTGATGGCTTATAATTTATACACTGAACACGTGTGTGTGTGTGTGTGTGTGTGTGTGTGTGTGTGTGTCCCCAAACCCCTGAGAGGAAAAAGGAGAAGGGATTATGGCAAGGCTGGCCCTCTCTAGGGGGTGATTTCTCAATTTCCCTCTCTGTTTCTATCTCTTTGGCAAACACAAGGAAAACCTCCATTAAAAAGCAAATCATTTCAAAGTTTATTCTTTTCATGAGTAAAAGAGACAAAGACAGGAAGAGATAGGGCTATAGACAGAAACAGGCACTGCCACCAGTGTCTCAACATTATTGAGATACCCTCAGCTACAGCCAGACTCAAATTATGGGTACAAGTTGTTGACAGAGGTTTAAGTCCTGGACGCAGTGACTTAAAACTCACACTGGGCACATGTGTGTGTGTGTTCAAGATCCCAAGAGGGCACTGAGGAGAAAGGACTGTAGCACGGTCATCCACTCTGAGGGGTGATTTCTCACTCTCTGTCTCTCTTTCTTTCTGGCAAGCATACATGACCTATAGCAAAAATCTCTCAAAAAATAAAAGAAAAATAAATCTGGCAATTTTGGTAACAGAAATAGCGACTATTTCAATGACAACATCCACACACAAACATACACATACAAATATAAACATTATAAAGGAATAGCAATCAGACAGTGTAAAACTAGAAATGAGATGAATAAACAGACCACTTGAACTGACAAGAGAAATCGCTTAAAAATACTTCTGGCTTTTGGTAACTTATATCAGTGACAAAGCACTTCAGAGAAGTAGAGAAAAAAGAATATTTTCCAAAGAACACTAGTTGTGGAGACAATATTATATCTGTGGAGCCAAAAATGATGATATACCTTTTGGCTATAATACATAATAAATTATTTTCAAAGATACCTTTTAAGAGTTATGCAAAACAATATTTTGAATAATTTATAAATTGGACATTAAAATACAAGTTCTATTCATCAAATGACACACTTAAATGGTATAAAGAAAATGACTGAGTGGGAGAAAATAATGACCACACATCTAATTAAACATATTTATCTTATTAAAATAAAACTTTTTTAAAAATATGATCTTACTAGCTTAAGATTCTCCTGCCTCCGGAGAAGAAACTAATTTTTTTTTTTTTAGATTTATTTATTTAATTATGTTTATCCCTTTTTAAAAATTTTCCATAGGGCACAATGCTCATCAGAAAGAGACAGAGAGAGAGGGACCAGCACTTAGCGTAATGGCTATTTCGCTGGACTCCCATGTAGTCGAAAGCGGTTTGCGTCCCGGACCCAGTGGCTTAAAACTCTGAGGAGAATGGAGAAGGTGAGGAGAATGGAGGAGAAGGGATTGTGGCGTGGCCATCCCCCCTGGGGGGGTGATTTCTTGCTTTCTATCTCTCTGTCTCTCTCTGTCTGTCTGGTGAGTGCATGTACCCTATAGCAAAAACCTCTCCAGAAAAAAAAGAGACAGAGAGAGAGAAAAAGCTACTAGTTTCAGGATCAAATCATGGTTGATTCTGTAGGAGTCCAGTGTCCTAACCACCATGCCACATGCTGGCCCTGTAACTAAAGTTTTATTATTAGAAAAAAAGAAACTACCCTCAAAGAAAAGTAGGCAAAGACACTTGAACAGACACTTTAGGTAGATTTCAAAATGTTCAATAAATGTGTAAAACATGTTTAATAGCTTCAGTAAATGGGAAAATACCAAAATAAATAAAACTAAACAGTATCAATAAACATGTGGAACTGAACACTCAGGGAAAAAAAGAAATTGAATGTTAAATTATCTACCTTTTAGGAAACTAAGTTAATAAACTAATAGATATACACACAACCAGCATAAACTCAAAGAAAGGAAAGCAAGCAAGTATTATGACAAGAATTCATAGCATTAGTGTAAATATTTGAAACAAAGGTAAAAGAGGCAAGAGGAAGTCATTAAAGGATAAATGAAAGGGATTTTTTGAAAGTAGTTTTTAGAGGTGAGCCATATTTTAGATCTTATAAGTTCATTTTAATGAATAGTATAAAATACAACATAAGTTATATAAAGATGAAATTTGTATAATATACATGTATGCAAGTTTTAGAAACAAATCTGTAGAATACATAAATAAAAATGGATAGACATGAAAAAATGTGGTTACACGTATGTACATAAAGAAAAACTCACCTTTACAAAGATGACCACTTTCCCAAAATTCATCAAAATGAAGTGTTATCTCTGTCACTGATATAAATGTCCCATCAACATTCCAGTATGTTTTCTTTTCATGTAAAAGGGGCCAAAAATTCTAAAATTTATCTAAAAAGGCAAAATATAAAAACATATATAATTAATTTCTGAATAAAAGCACTGGATAAATGACAATAACAAATATTATAAAACTACAAAACAGCAATCATAGACAAAGATCAAGAGACCAGGATATAATCAAAATCCACACATTAAAGTCATATTGAAATAGAAATTGTTAGGCCATCCCATGACATGAGGGTTAATGCACCTGAATCCCACATGGCCAACCATGGTTCAAGTCCCAGCCCCAACACCTTGAAAAGCAGGCCAGGCACATGTGCATATGTGCTTAAAATCCTGAAAGGAGAATGGAAAAGAAACTGATGCATGAGCATCTCCCTTGGGTTGAGATTTCTTTCTTCCTTCTTCCTCCCTTTCGCTCTCTCTCTCTCACACAAGCACACATGCCCTGTAGCAAAAACTAAAAAACAAACAAAAAACAAAGAAAAAATCATAATGCATGTCCAGCTTGGAGTCAATACCAAATGTAACTGCAGTTTTGGAAGACATGGTTGATTATGAATTTGGATCTCCAAGTCAGTCTAAAAACAAGCCTGGGAATAAGTGTGCATGCCTAAGATCCTGATGTGCAAGAGAGCTGGGAAAACTCTGTATGTGCTTCTCTCATTCTCTCAATCTTGAGTGGCTATGCACACACTATCATAAATAAAATATATCAAAAAAAAAAAAAGAAGAAGAAGAAGAAGAAAGAAAGAAAGAAAGAAAGAAAGAAAGAAAGAAAGAAAGAAAAAAGGAAAATGTGATAAAAATCTAAGTTTGGAAAAGATTTTGCCCACTAATGCTTCCCTTCTTCATTTTATTTTATTTTATTTTATTTTATTTTATTTTTAGGTTTTTGCCATAGGGCACATCTGCTCACAGGAGAGAGACAGAGAGAAGGATAGAGACAGAAAGAAGGATAGTGAGAAATCACCACTCAGAGAAATAGCCACACCACAATCCCTTCTCTTCCAATCTCCTTCAGATTTGGGGCACAGGCACACACACATGCCCACAGTGATTTTCAAGTTGCCAGGTCTAGGACTCAAGCCAGAGTTAGCACAGGTGAGAATCCAGTGCCTTAACTACCACACCACCTTATCTCCCCAGTGTTCCACTTCTTGGCAGAGTCATTATTTAAAAATTCTGAGACTAAAATGGTGGACACATGGGCCTAAACAAGAGTCAGTATAAACCACTAGACAGAGGAGTGAAGTCAACTAAAACCAATCAAACTCTCTCAAGGCACCACATGACTAAAGCCTCACTTTCCATCCAAACAAACAGAATAGAAACTACCCAGCTGAACCAACCCCAAACTCCAAGGACCCTTGAGCCAAAAAAAAAAAAAAGTTGGATTTTAGAATAGTTAGTTCCTCAAACAGAAAATGCTAAACAGTACATTTAAGCCCCCAGCAATGTTTTTAACAATATCACATGAGTCAGAATGTCTTAAATATATGTCAGATGCAATCAACAGAACTTCACAGCCATGTGTAAGACTTTTGAAAAACCTAGAGAGTAATTATGTGTTCATTAGTAGACGAAGTTTTAAGATTTTACATGCTATACATCTCTGAACTAAAAAAAAATAAAATAAAATAAAATAAAACAGCCAGCAAATAGCCTTGCAGTTATGTCACTGGACTCTCACAAGACTAACCACCATTCAAGTACCAGACCTGGTTGGTGCCTTAACACTCACACTGGACACATATGCGTGTATGCTCAAGGTCCCAGGGAGAGCAAGGAAAAGGAAATGTGGTGTGGCCAACACGAGGGAGTAGTTTCTTACTTTCCCTCTCACAGTCTCTGTCTCTTTCTCGACCATGCACATGTTCACTAAAGGAACCACCCCTACACACAAAAATATTTAATTAAAAATATATAAGAAGGATTTGTTACTTATACAAGAGTACAGCATTACATTTAATTTACACTTTAAAAATTGGTTGGAAATAAGTGTCATGCAGTCTAATTTTCCTATCTTACATAATATAAAATAGACTCTTATGGGTCAGCAGGAGGCAGTGTAAAGTGCTGGATCCCACATAGCTGAGTATGTGGTTCAAGTCCCAGACCCAGTGGCATGAAAACCATGACAGGCACATAAGTGAGTGAGCAAGTGAGTGAATGTGTATGTACACCCCAAATCCCAAGAGTAGAGAAGAAGGAATTGCAGAATTGGCTATCCCTTGCAGTTGGCGGGGGTGGGGAAATTCTCTCTGGTGAGTGTGTGTGTCCTACAGAAAGAAGATCTAAAAAAAGAAGAAGAAAAGTCTCATAAATTTCCTGCAGTATTTATCATAAGATTTATCATAAGATACTGTTGTCATTAAGTAGAAAACGTTTTGAAACCACATAAATCATACAATGTGTTGAAGGATAGGAAAGGTTATTGAAAGTAATGTTTGTATTAACCTCAGTGTCACAAAAAAAATTAAAAGTAAACAAATGATTCATTTGATTGAAATCTGATAAAAACAGATTATACTAGCCAAAATGTCAGAATGTCTAGCATCTATAAATATCCGGACTCTGGAAAAGTCACATTTCAAATCTAAATTATTCCCATTTTTCTTAGAAGGCAGATATATTTTAACAAACCCTTGCTGAACTACTAGGAAAACCTATCGAGATAGAGGACATGTCACCTTTTCTCTAGTTGCCAAATTTGGTGACGGATCAGGTTTAAGTGAGCTCAGACATAGGAAACGACAATAGATTGAAAGAATGGAGTCTGTTTACAGAGCACTGTAGACAGACACTCTCAGGATGACAGGTTATAACTTCAAGCCAGACCACACTTTAAGCTTTCTCCAATAAGTAACATCCTTTGGGCCTTGCCTACCCATCTCAGCCAAACTACCTATCCCTTTTGAAAGAAGGTCCAAACCTTTGAACACCATCCAGTGCTTCAGAAGGTAGGATTATCCAAATTTTGTTCACTCTAGGAAATAAGATCAATAATTACTTTAAGTAAACTAAAATTTTTCCCTTTCCCAGGCTCTTCTGCCTCTGCTCTGAAGTACTAGTACAGAATTCAGGCCATAGTGGTGTTCTTTCAGGTGTGATCCCTATCTGTACAGTATAACCTTCTAACTTTGTAATACTTAACTTTATTCTAAATAAAATGGTACCATTCACCAGGACTCCAAGCTCCCTAACAGAAATCAGTGTCACTGGATTCTGAATTTGAACCTGTATAAAATTATTTTTGTTTTCCCTTAGGTTTTTGCCAGAGGGTAAGAGTGCTGGCTGGAGAGTAACAGAAAGAGGGAGGGGAGTGAGAAATCATGACCCAGAGGTAATGGCTACACAACAATTCCTTCTCTTCCATTCTTCTCCACAATTTTGGGGACAAAGGCACATGCACCCAGTGTAATTTTCAAGCTGCCAGGTCTTAGACTCAAGGAAAGTCTGCCCCTTCCTTCAACCAAGTAGGAGTCTGAAACCTTAACTTCTACACCACCTGATGCCCCCTAAAATTCTTTAAATTTTCCCAGAAGTGGGCCAGTCAGTGGCACTGTGGAAAGGCAGTTGGATCCACATGCAACTTTGTGGTTTGATTCCCAAGCCCAGTGGTTTGAGAATTACATCTGGAGCATGTTCATGCGTGCCCAAAATCGCAAGAAGAAAATGGAGAAGAAGCAATTTTGGCATGGCCATCCAACTGGAAGGTGATTTCTCCTTCCTCCCCATCTACCCTGCTTATCTCTGTAGCTCTCAGGCAAGCACTTGTGCTTCAGAGCAAAAAATGGAAAAAGAAAAAAAGTCACTTACCCAGCAGTGCTGGGCAGGCCAAAGAAATGCAGAAGGGGACCAGAGGCTTCACTTACTTTAAGACACCAAGACACCCCACAAACACAGCTGCCATAGGAACACTATCTGCAAAGACTCCACAGTTATTTCAATGGGAAACTAGGGGGCATTTCACTTGTACTGGAAATAGGCTCGTATTATAGACGGGTAAACTTAATAGAATCCGTAATATGAACTGCTAGTTGTTCCAAAACCTGGGCAGGTTCTTTTCTGATGGTCACAAAGAATTGGAAATGTGGACCAACGAAGAGGATAGTAAGTTTATTAGAAAGAGTCAAAGCTTCCAGCTAAGTGAGCAGGTATCCCCAGGGTGTTAGAATGGGCCCTGAGAAGGAAAAAAGAAAAAACAAGGTAAAAACTAATTTTGTCTAAGGAGACGGAAGAAAAAAAGACTACTTCACTTAAAGCGATGCCAGCACAGGTGACTTTTGCCACCAAGTAGTCTTGAACTAATCACTGTCCCTGACTTGGACAGTGTGCTCAGGACTACAGCCAGTTTGTATACTTCTAGCCTTGTCAGCAAGTTTGCATAAATTTTTTGAAACATGAAAGAAGACTATATGGTTCAAAGTCCTTCCCTCTACTGCTCTCCAGACGAAGACACACTACATTTCTTGTTTGGAATGTAGCAATGATACGGACAATCCTACTTTCAGCGGTCATTATCTCAAGCAGATTGCAAGCAGCTTTCTATACAGGTAAGTAGTGAGAGCTGATAAGTGATTTCTACTGAGAGCAGTGAATGATTTTACGAAAGGCTTGATTATACTGACTCCATTTGTCTCCTTTCCTCCATTCCATGGAGTCCTGAACCTCTCTACCTAACCAGAGATCTTAATCCTCTCTCATCAGAATCCTATAGCAGAGCTGGAAGCTGAACTCATTGCCATTGGATCCCTGGCTCCTCAACCTGAAGTAGGAGAATCTCCATTTTGAACTCTGTATTATTTAAAACTTGCTTCCTCCTTTTTGTATAAACAGAATGATTAAGATTCCTACTGTCTTTGCTAAATAACCCAAAACTCCATACCTTAGGAAGTTCTTTAGTGATAAGATCCTTGCCCCAGTCATGAAGATCATTAAGATCCCATTGTGTTTAGGCAAGAACTGGAACGTGCCCTTAGTAATTATTAACCTCCTTGACCTGGCTTCTGTAACTGTTTTCCCTCTCCCTTTCTTCCCCGCCCACTCCTCAATGGTTACTGTTCCCGCCACATCAACGCAAATGTGCTTTTTGTCTTTACAAGCACCCTTCTCCCTACACTCGGGGCTGCAGGGTCTTTGAGGGACATGAGAGCTCCCGCAGTCTCTGGTAATGCAGACTCCTATAACCTGGCTATGACTGGGTGTCCTCTCCTTTCTCGCTGATCAAAATATAACAAATCTACCCGGGTGCCCAGCTTGGACCGGATCACCCCATTCCGGAGCTTCTGGAGTCACCGTTGTACACCTGAATGCACACACCCACCTCCTGACAAAGCAGCTACTGAAAGCAAAGCCCAGGTCACCTCTTTCCTCACCTCGGACCTGCACACCCCGACGCTCCCATCGCTCTCCCCACCCAGCCCGGACCAGGGGCTGCACCTTCCTTCAGGCGCCCCTCCTCCTCCACCCGACCTCCCCGCCACGTTTCTGCTCCCAAGAAGAGGGGCACTTTTCTACTCGTAGCGCCCTCAAAACCCGCAACCCTCCTCCTTTGCACTCAGACTCACCTTCATGGACACCTTGTCCAGAAGAGCGCGGTCAGCACAGCGGCAAGTTCTCCCCAACAACCACGCAGCAGAAACAAAGCGCCACAGGAACCGAAAAAGCCGCCCTCCTTGGCCCGTGTTGATGACGTCACGGAGCAGAGACTACATTTCCCACAAGGCTCTGCGATCCCGGATTTGGCACTAAAGTGAAGTTTCCTGTGTTTTCACCCCGGAATCGGGTGATCGGGTCCAAGCTGGGCACCGGGTAGATTTGTTATATTTTGATCAGCGAGAAAGGAGAGGACACCCAGTCATAGCCAAGTTATAGGCGTCTTTATTACCATGTCCTGTCACCAGAAACCAGAATCTGAAGGGAGACAAAAGGTTTCAATCCATGTGAGTGAGAGACAGAATCCTAGTTCTTTATTAAATCCTGGTTGGACATTTCAGGGATAATGTGGAAATTCGTACGTGGGTCACTTATTCAGTGACATTAGTAAGTAACCTAATACTTTTGTCGTTCTGATATAGGTTATTCTTGTTGTAGAACCACTGACTCTTTTTCGTAATGGAATCTGAAGCGTGAAAATTAATGTGTTTGAGTTTATTAAGAAACAAATGATTAATATGGTCATTATCTTGGAATCATTAAAATGTTTATCCCCACCCACTAAGCTGATTTTTGAATGTTCAATGGGTATTACAGTTGGAAACTGTTCTAGTGTATATATGAGAGAGGATACCAGGATCATAGGGTAGGTATACTTCATATTCCAAGTCTGTTTTCACTTTAAGTGTTCAATAATTATTTGCCCAAAAGTTCTCATGTTTTATCTAACAAATCTTTAGATGTCTGGGGTGTCTCTCTGTGTGGGAGATGTACCTGACTTACCTACTCTTCCTTGATTTTGGCCACAAACCAGGCCAGGGGGGATTTCATATACACTTTATTATCACTGAGTCTCTTTTCAAACAAAGAACTACCTATTTTTTTAATATGTTATTTTACTATACTTATTATTAATTTGACCAGAGAGAGAGAGGGGGGAAAAAGTGAGAAAGAAAGCCACCAGGTCTGGGACTCAAACTACACTCAACCATTTGGGAGTCCAGTGCCTTTAACCACCAGGTCCCCTGCTGCTCCCAAAATGGCCTTTTTTTTTTTTTTTGAGAGGTTTTTGCTACAGGGCGCGTGCGCTCACCAGAAAGACAGAGAGACAGAGAGACAGAAAGCGAGAAATCACCCCCCCAGGGAGGATGGCCACGTTGCCATCCCTTCTCCTCCAGTCTCCTCTCAGGATCTTGGGCACACATGCACACGTGCCCAGCATGAGTTTAAGCCACCGGGTCCAGGACTCGAACCGTGGTCGACTACATTGGAGGCCAGCAACATAGCCATTACACTAACTGCTGGTCCCTCAAAATGTCCATTCTGATTCATCAGGATTAGTATTAGACTGGAGTGGTGAAATGAGAGAATGGTGTGAAAAGTGGGTAAAGATTGTGAGTGGTGACTGCAGGGTGCAAGAGACATGATCTTGTGCAAGGCCTATGCCTGGTTTTTGTTTTTCCTGTTACATGCCCTGCCATGTTCAAATTCCTGTATCTTTGATGCTGTAAGTGTCTTTCAGTGACCATGTTCTATATTCACAAAGAACTTAGTCTTGATCTCCACAGTACTCCCTCACTTTCTAGTTTTGAATCCCTGGCCACCCTTCCTACCACCCTTGCATACCAGGTCTCTCTTAAACACACATTAGTATGTTATTGGGGGATGATTTACATACAGGATGATTGGCCGGGGGTGAGTGGGGGAACGAATCCCTGACACTTCCACCTCTAAGATATAGATGTTATTTACTCTCTTTGTGGGCTTTTCTGTGTTTTAAAATTGAGATAATAGGGACCAGCAGGTGGTGTGGTGGTTAAGGCACTAGACTTCCATATGACCAGAACAGTTCAAGTCCTGGACTTGGTAGCTTGTTTTCTCACTTTTTATTTCTCTCCATCTGTCAGTGGTCAAATTTTAAAGTAGTATGAAATAAAATAAATTAAATTATGCCTACAAAAAATGAAAGAAAGAAAGACAAGAGAAAAGAAAAGAAAATAGAGATCATAATACACATTTGGAAGTGTAGACTTCACTTTGGACTCACCTCTACTAATAGACCAAGAAGCAAACTCTATCCTCTTCCTAGAATGGAAAATGTTCCAGAAAAATGGAAAGGAGGCTGAGAGTTGTGAGTTATTTTCAACATTAGCCATGCATTGTGATTTTTGGTGTTCAAGTTTATCTTTCCTTTTTTAAAAATTATTCCTAATGGAATAATTGGCCTAAGGGGCCAACTCCATGCAGTTAAGCCAGTAGATCCTTCATGGCAGACAGCACAGTTCAAGTCCTGTATCTGGCTTGAGAAACATGTGGGTTGCATATGAAGGCATAGCCACAGTCTCAAAAGGAGGGAGAGGTGGAAAGGAAGAGATTGCAGCATGACTATGGCCCGTTTGGGGTGTTTCTCACTTCCCCTTTTCTTTTTTTCTTCAGTGAATTAACATGTCTTTTGCCAAAGTCAAAAAAGAAAAGAAAAGAAATACAATTTATAAATACAAATTATTTATATGTGTAAATTATACATTTTATAGTATATTCATCATATATCCTGTTACTTTCCTGAACTTGTTTTTCAGTACTAATAGTTTGTAGCCAATTCCTAGTGACTTCCTAAAGATTGAGTCATGTCATCCACAAATAAAGGTAACTGGATATATTCCTTTCTAATATAAATGCCTTTTATTTATTTCTGTGGTGATTACTCACAGTAGTTGGCCTTTGAAGTTCCTACTCAGTACATACTTGTTTTAGAGTCCCTGCAAGGAGAAAATTGTGTCCTTCTGTGGTGGCAGGGGCCAGAGGCATTTTCTCACATGCCCTACTGTATGCACAAATGTCCAAACCATACCACTTATTTTAACTGGGTGTACATGCTCCAGCTACTGTGTCAGTGTGTTGGACTGATTATGGCACCTCAGAGATGCACAGATATAAGCACCATTGAGCATCAGAGTGGCGTCTATTTGGCAGTGGATCTGTTTTTGTTGTGGCACCATGCTGCAGTTGACTGGGGCCCAGATGGTGAATTTACTCTGTGCATTTTCCTTCTTTGAGTAGTGCAGTTTTGTGGGCCTCAGACATATTCTACATTGGGATGGTCAGGGACTGCTGGGCTCTCCAGCAACTAGGACTCTGGCCACTGGTGTCAATGGGAACCACTGGGGACCTCTCATTTACTCTGTCCCAGCACTGGGGAATCTGTAGCATCTCAAACTAGCCCAGAGTGAAAACATGAGAACAAATACCAGCTTTACAATATACAATCATCAACACACACAAAGAAGCATGAATAATAATCAGGAGAACTGGGGCCAGCAGGTGATGTGATGGTTAGGGACACTTGACTTCCTCATGGCCAGCTGTGGTTTAAGTCCCGGACCAGGTGGCTCTCTCTCTCTCTCTCTCTCTCTCTCTCTCTCTCTCTCGCTCTCACTCTTACTCTCGCTCTTGCTCTAGCTCTCTCTCCTCTCTCTCATCTTGCCCCTCTCTGGTCAAATTAAAAAATAAATAAATAAAGTTAAATAAAATAATTATTTTAAAAAGGAACAATCAGGAAAATGTGATGTTACCAATGGACAAAGTGAAGTGAAGGGACTAACACTAAAGGGTAGGGGCAGGATCTGCTTCACAGAGATTTCACTGCCATGGTTTTTTAAGGAAGCATAACACACTTAAAAGAAAACACACGGAAACATTTCAACACAATTCGATGCACATGTGGCAAGATTCTAGAAGAGCTTTTGAAGTGGGAAATATTGTATCTTTGAAATATACAATATTCTGAGGTCGCTCTTTTAGTTTTTACTTTTTGAGTTTTACTTGGAGTTCTATCATCATTTAGTAATTTGATCAACAAGTAATTGTTCAGCAACTCACTGCCTCAGGAGTAGTTTCAGAACCTGGATACCTATTGGTGGATATAGCAAGTTAGACATGGCTGTAGTCCAATAAAGGGGAGACAGTTACCTAAACTAAATAGAATACACATAAGCTCTAACTGTGTTAAAGTCTATAAAGAAAACTGTAGCTTCCTATGAAAGAGAATAACAGTTGGTCACACCACTAACCACACTCTGGGGAATTTGAAAAAATGGGAAGAGTGACAATTAACCAGGTTATGAGGGAGGAACAATATTTGAGGATGATAGAAAAGGTTATACAAAGAACACAGTTGCAAAACTTGGGGGCAAATATAAAAGGGAATAAAGGCCAATCTGCATGAAGTATAGTAGAGAAGAGGGAGAGGAATGTATGAAAAGGTTGAAAAGATAGACAAGATCTTATTGACTATCTTAGATTTTACCTCAGAGAAGTGGAGGGGGAAGCTTGAAATGCTTTTGGTTGATCTAATTCTCTTGGGAAAAAATAAAACAAAACCCTACTGTGAGGACAATAGATGGGGATAGGCAAAAGTAGAATTAAAAAAAAAAAAAAACAGGATGGAGGCTGTTGGAGATGTTCAGGGAATAGAAGGTGGTGACTTGAAATATGGGAAGACATAAATTCATGATGAATTGAGAATAGATTGGATATGGGGATGAAACTCTGGAGTGACTCATTCAGAGATGACTCAAGTATAATTCTTCAACTTCTGGATCGAACAACTGGTTGTGGTGATGCCATTTTGGTTACTACATGGGGCATACACAGATAAAGAGATGTTAACTTTTGATCAGGTCTTGAAGGATCTTGGAGAGGAGGCATAAGTGGAATGCAGCAGAGACCCCATTGATGGCTTGGAGGTAAGCGTACTCAGATGAGGGATAATGCAAAAGGAGATAAGAGATGATGGCCAAGGAAATAGATGACTGGAGACAGGGGAAAAAAATTGTCTGTAATGAGACACCCATTTCAGAATCCTAGGTCTAGAGAGTTAAAATGGATGTGACAGGATCACGATCATTAAGTTACTGGCAGTTGAGGGCAGTACACTGGCGGGGGCAGCAGGAGAGAAGAGCATAGTAGAATTAAGTAGCATAAAAATGTTAAGTGTTATCTCCCCTTGCTCCACTTCAGGAAGG